ACTTTTTCTTTTTTTCCTTTTTTTTTTTTTAATTTCCTCAATTTTGATCGATTTATTTTTTTTTTTTAGTTATTTTAGTCAATAAAAATTTAATTGTAAAAGTAATTTAATTGTTTAATTTTTTCCTTTGTTAGCTTAAACTAATAAAAACAAATGGAAGAAAAGAAAAAACAAATAAACGTCAATCTGTCAATACGAAAATAAATTTTAATTAAAAAAAAAGACGAGAAAAATCTTTCAATTTTTACTATCGATTACATTACAATACATTTTGTTTTTTCCCTTGTTTATTTCATATTTCCGTAAATGTACAAACATTTATTTTCTTATCTACATATTAATTAATAATTAAAAAGTTTAATTAATAATTAAAATTTCTTCTTCCAATTTGTTAATTGAAAATGGAATAATAATATTTTTGTATGTAAACAAACATTATCAATTCTATATGATATCAAATTTATTACATTTTGCAATACATTCCTTCTTTTTTCTCTTTTTTTTTGGTATTTTTTGTTTATTTATTAATTAGAAATTAAAGATTCAATTAATAATTCAAATTTCTTTTTTACAATTTATTAATTAAAAATGAAATGTTTATACATTACCAGATCAACACGATCAATACATTGCGAATTTGTTGAATTATTTTCATGAAATCGTGAAATAAAAGCATTTTGATCATCATCTTCAGCACAGCTCAACTAAAAATTTATCAATTTTTTTTTTCCAATTTATTTTTTTTAATTCGAAAAATTATTTCATTTTTTTTTCTTTTTTTTTTATAACGCAACAATTTTTATTTTATGCTAATAAAAAATTTAATATTATTCTTATTATTTCTAATATATCGATTACAATATATTGAATGATTTAATTATTTAACAATGCAGAAATATTTTGTATTATCAAATTATAAATTAATTAAATTTTAATATGGAAAGGTTCAGGAAAGAAAAAGAAAAGAAAAATGGAAGAATATAAAATTCATTATAATAATATTCCTGTTTAATGTAAATGAAGAAATTGATGGAAGTTATGCAAATTTAAGCATTATTTAATAAAAATTAAATAAACGAACAGTTGAAAATTCAGGTATCCTTTTATAGGTACATTCAACAAATGGTATAATATTTTTTGATTCATCTAATACTTTATTCTCTCGTTCAATACGACTAAATTCTATCTGAAATTATAAATATAAACTTATCAATAATTAATTTGAAATAGTGTAAGCATTATTTGCATTATCATTGCTTGATTTTACAGTACAATGAATGACGAATAATAATTTTGTATTCATTTATCAATTAATTAATTGATTAATTATTCGTTTTCATATAATTTTCTACCAAACGATTGGTTAAATATTTATAAGATGTAAATGTAATATGAAAATAAAAATTTTCATTTTGAGGAACATGCGAAGGATATATTTCTTTTTTTTTATTTTTTATCATTAAATATTATTATCTTTCATTTTTGTATTTTTTATTAATTAAATTTTTATTAATTAAATCATTTTTATTAATTAAATTTTAATATGGAAAGGTTCAGGAAAGAAAAAGAAAAGAAAAATGGAAGAATATAAAATTCATTATAATAATATTCCTGTTTAATGTAAATGAAGAAATTGATGGAAGTTATGCAAATTTAAGATAAATTCAAAATAAATTTTTAGTGATAAATTTAATCATTTTGCAAGAAAATTGACGAAGAATATCAACTTAGTATTAATTAATTAATTAGTTCGATAATCGGTAAATGCGTTAAGGTAAACGATAATATTTGAAAATGAAAGAATTTCAAATTTCCAAAAAAAGAACAAAAAATTTGTCACGTCAAAGTTAATGTCAATTATGTTTACATCTTGGCACAATGAAAAAAGAAAGGTCAAAACTAAAGGTCAAGACTAGTGAATTAAATTAAATTATTTACAATTTTTATTCTAATTGATATAAAGGCAAATACTGATGAAATTGTTAATAATACTGCAAGGATGCATTGAAATCCAAAACAGTAAAAGCATGGATTTACACGGAACATATAGCGTAACAGACGTTCTGTCCGGGATCGATAGATCTGAAAATCAAAAATTGAATAACAATATTTGAAATCAATAAGAAAGCATTACTGGATAAAAATTTAATATGTATTTGATTACAACAAACATAAATTATTCTTACTGAATGTTTTTTTCCTTTTTTCTTTATTATCCTTCAATTATTTGTATATTTCGGAAAAAATAATTGATAACTTATTTATTGTAATATTTAATAATATGTTAAAGTGATATGAATTATATACTTTTTATGCTAATATGTTAAAGTGATATGAATTATATACTTTTTATGCTAATATGTTAAAGTGATATGAATTATATACTTTTTATGCTCATTTGTCATAAATCAAATATTATTTTTTTTTTTTGATAAAATCTTTTATGAATAAATTATGCATCCAAAATATAATCATATGAGCATAATGTGATGAGAATGATGAAAATATACAATTTTGTTGAATATGCAATAACAATTTTAAATTTTTGATAAATATTATAATAAATTTAGGAATTTGAAACATTAAAATGTTGCAAAATTCCTGAATTTAACTTACTAACGAATAAGAAAACGATATCGTTTGCCAATTTCAGTAAAAATACGAGTATATTTGAAAGAATGA